GCAACCCAAGAGGTATTCGTGAGTAAAAATACGGGAGATAAAAAGTGAGTAATATGGAAACGGAACTGTTATTTTTGCGGGAAAAAGTTGAAAAACAAGAATGTGAAATTACGAGTCTTAAACTTAAGCAGTTAAACATAGACACCAGGCTGCGAGCTCAGGAAAGGTAAACTAGCAAGGATAGTGTGCTTGTATGGAATCCGCCGTTCGATGCAAGGGCAGTAGATGACGTTACGGATGCGATAATTGATTTTTTCAGGACAAGTCTGAAAGTTACCATTTCTCGAGGGGGAATTATAGCTTGTCACATGTATATGGGAAATTACGGAAATAATATGCCCACTATCATTTGCAAGTTTGTATACTTCGACGATAAGCACTCTGTATACAAGGCCAGGAGGAATCTGAAATATCAGAAAAACATTTTAAACAAGCGTAACATATATATTACGGAACGTCTTCCTGAACAAGAGGCAATAATTAAGAAAGCGGCCGCTGATATGGACTAAATAACTACCACTCATAACTGCATCGTATCAGTGCTTGTCCATGATGAAAATCGTCGGGGCGAAACAAAGTTTATGCGAGTTGACGCAGGAGATGAATTGCAAACGATTAATGCTGTTAAGCGAAAAAAACGAATCTACACCGACTATCGTCATGACAACAATGAAGGGGAATCCCCTGCAAACAAAAAACCAACTCATTGATTGGATTTTGAACGGATAATGTGTGCCGCCTGTTAAACTTTGACAGAAAAACACAAAATGAATTGAGTTAAACTGTAAAGCATATGAACTGCTATTCTAGAACTGCAGAGTGGTTATGTTTGTGACAAAACATGTTGAATTACTCTCTGTTATTATTCCCCTTAGGCGGACAACAAATTAGCAATAATACGAGTGACAAAAATCGATTTTTGTTTCTATTTTTTATCGTATAATTTTTTTCTTTCTTAAATATATTTTTATTGCGTTTAGTTTTCATATTTTTCTTAACATAGGAATTATCAGCAAACAAATAAATGATTATTCTCTAACAAAACCTTAGGTCAGTTTGTGTGATTTCCGCACTGCTGTTCTAATACTTAATAAAGAAGAACAATCCAAGAAGTCCTCCTTTAAAAAAGAAAAACCAATAATAAGTTGGTGCGATTTCCGCGCTGCTTTGTGGTTATTTAAACTAAATTATGTTTTATTTTCTTTTAAAACAAAACTAGAATAAAACCCAAAAAAAAATTTACCCTGCTCTTTTAGTTCCCAGAGCTTGCGTGATTTCCGCGCTGCTCTTGCGATCCTTAATTGTAGATGCTGAAAATGAGGAAAACAATGAAAATAAAATGGAAAAAGTCAGGAAAAACGAAAATTATATAAGCTGAAAAAGGAAAAGAAGGAGGCGAGGGATTGGAGGGGAAATTAAAGAACCCTATACGGGTATAAAACTGAAAGCTAGCAATATTTGTATTTTTGCGAAGAAAAAGAATATTTGTGCGATAAAAAGAATATCCTAAGACAAGGAGGAGAAACTACCTAGAGTTTGTGCGATTTCCGCACTGCCCTGGGTGGCTTCTGATTTCTGACAACTCATTGATCTTCAAAAATTGGTTAAATTTTCAACTAGTTAAGAAACCACGCGAGAATAATACTGTACACAGAACATATGGTTAACAGAGACATGGAGGAAACAAATTCTAAAACTTTTTCAGTGTTTTTACAAAACATCAGATCACTGCCCCGAAACTTTGAAGAATTTGAATTAGAAATAGAACAGTTGGCCCAACGTCCAGATATCATTTGTTTAAATGAAACCTGGCTCAAAAATAACTCTGACAATGATATTTTCCAAATTCAAGGATACGAACCTCTCTATAGTTGCGCTAGAATTAAACGAGGAGGAGGTATTGGCATATATGTTAACACTGGGTCAGATCATAGGATAATAAAACAAAGAAAAGATAACAATATGCAAATCTTGTCAGTTCTCATAAAAACACAAATAAATCAGAAAATTGTAGTAACCTGTGTTTTCATTCCACCAAATTCTCTAAACAACGCTACCTTCGAAAGCCTGCAAAATTATTTGGATGGATTAACGCTAGGGCCTGAAACTGATCACATAGTTTGTGGTGATTTCAACGTAAATTTTCTGTTAAACTCGACAGCGGAAAAAAATTGAGGATATTATGATAGGAAATGGCATGTTAGAAAACAAAATGAGTTGCCTCCCAACAAGAGTGACAGAACGTCGTAGCACTTTGATTGACTTATTTTTCTGTACATCAAGTTTCTCAACCAAAACCATCAAAAGTTCAGTGTCTGATCATTTTGGTGTTCTTTTTTTTTAAATTTTCTGAAAAAGGACGTTTTTACTGAAAAAACTTTTGCTAGAAACTGAAACAAGATGAAAAAAAGGGATATAAGTGAGAAGTTAAGTTTTTATTTGCAACATGAGATTGGCAAATGTATGCAGTTATGGAATCCCGAAGACCCTCAAATGTCTTCTAGGATTTTACAAAAAATAAATTCGATCCTTATGAAGGCAGTTGATACTTTTTTTTCAAAGCGTTTACTAGTACAATCAGAAAGACATCCATGGATTGACAATGAAGTAAAAATTGCAGCGGCAAAAAAGCTACGGTTACGACAGGAGTTTTTGAATATTAAAACAACGGATGCCCGGAATAAGTATAGTTCCCAAAATAAAATTGTCAAAAACCTAATCATCCGTAAAAAACGAGAAAACTATCAAAATAAACTAATGCTTGAGTCTAATTGTAAAACGAAAACTTTTTTCGAAACTTTTAAGGAAATGAGTGGTAAAGGGAAAAAATCTAAATCATTAAATCTATCTAACGGGGACGCTGAGCATTTTAACGAATACTTCGCAAATATTGGCGCCAGACTCACACAGAGCAAACCAAACTGCATGGAAAATAATGTTAAACGTCAGCAGCAATCGTTGTTTTGAAAAAAATTGATTTAATTGAAGTCATTGAAGTCATCGAAAGTTTAAAAAATATATATAGTACAGATTGCTATGATATCAGCACTGTTATCGTCAAGCATTTAAAAACTATACTAGCAGGCCCTTTGACTGAAATTTTTAATGACTGCCTAACCTCAGGAATCTATCCAAATTGTTTAAAAATTGCAAAAATTGTTCCAATTTTCAAGGAGGGAGACATCGATGACCCCTCAGACTATAGACCAATTTCGCTTCTTCCAGTTCTGGGCAAAATTTTTGAGCGTATAATTTTTAAACGAGCCCAATCATATGTAGACAAGTTTAAAATCATCCGAAATACTCAGTTTGGCTTCAGATCAAATAGAAGCACTGTTGACGCCATCCTTACTTTGTTGGAAGAAGTTTCAACATCATTATCGAACAAAAAACTAACTGTTCAGAATACGTTTTTAGACCTAACAAAGGCTTTTGACACAGTTGATCACTCTAGTCTGTTAATAAAATTGGAACAAATGGGATTCAGAGGGCCTGTCTTAAATCTATTGGAATCTTACCTTGACAATCGCTATCAGTACATTGAAACTAACTCTTTTAAGACCGAACTTAAACTGGTATCCTTTGGTGTACCTCAAGGATCTATCCTTGGCCCACTTTTGTTCATATTATACATAAACGATCTACAAATAGCCACAAAAACACAGGGGTACTTTTGTATGCTGATGACACTGTTCTGAAATCCACAAACAACAAAGACTATATTGCTTTTGCACATAGATCAGCTTTGCCTGAAGTAAATGATTGGTTAGACAAGAACAAACTGACACTGAATGTCAAAAAAACCAAAACCATGAGATACTGTTGGAGCACAAAAACTGAAGAACGACCAGTAAATTATTTTTTAAATGACACCCAAATAGAAGATGTTGAATGTTTTAAAAATCTTGGAATTCTCCTTGACTGTAAATTGAATTTTCATCAGCATATTGATAAGGTAAACAACAAAATTTTGCAATTCTGTGGAGTGTTTTTTCAATTTAGAAAGCTTCTAACTGGACAGCAATTAATATTTGCGTATAAAAGTTACGTGCAACCAATCATCCAATATGGAGTTTTAGTTTATGCAAATACCGACAAAACCAAACTCTTGGGACTAGAAATGAAAATCAGAAGGCTAATCAGAATAATTTTTTATAAACACAGGTTGGATTCAATCACTGAAATAACGCATGATAATTAAATATATACCGTAAGAGAATTGTTTGCTTACGAAGTTCTGAAATTAACCGGAAAAATTATTCGAAAAGAGTGCCAAGTTGAAACCTTGAGATATTCTATTACTGAGCAAGAATTGAACGTGATATTTTCAAAGCGAAAAACAAATCAAAAGTTAGCTATAAACAGAAATAAACTAAACAGAGGGTCGATTACACCTAAAATTAGAAAAATGTTCAACTTCGTAATAAATTTTTTTCCCACCTGGGTCAATTTCTTGAAAAGGGCTTCTCGGTTTCAATTAAATAGTTTTAGTCATAAATTTTTGGATAATTACATTCAAGGAAATACGATTTTACTGGGCATGCTTTGAGACCTTTTTTGATCAATAAGTAGAACTTGTTTCTGTTGGTTTCTAAGTTATGGGTAGAAAAGACTACCTGAGAAAACTAAATTAATTTTTTTTATAGAGAATGGTTTAAAGGTGGGTGCGAATAAAGAGGTTTTACATTTAAAAAATGGTTACCGGTAGAAAATGCATTGCATTGGATTAAAGAATTTAAGTACTTTTTTTTGTTCTCCGCTTAATGAGACACCTGAAAACGGGCCTTGTTGGCTTAATGGTGTTCTCCCGAACAATTCTAATTTGTATTTATAAATTTTTATAAATAACTTTGTAACTAGATATCGTTTGGAAACAATTTATTATTATTATATTAATCGGTTTTTTTCTTTGAACTCGACTAAAAACTTTTACTCCTTTTAAAAAAAGATGGGAAAGTGCGCGCCGATCAATTGAGTTTGTTCTCCTTTTCATATTCCAGTCAGTTCTCAGCCGCGTCTCCGCCCAGATTCAACCAGATGATGCCAGGCAGGAACAACCCAACTGGATACAGTCCCCACCCGGCGGCCGGCAAGCCCTCCCTCCCCATGCCTCCCGCCAGAGGGCGACCGGCCAGTGCCCTGGCTCAGTCCTCTGGCTACATGCAGTACTACCCGAAACCCCTCTCTGGCCAGGGCATGGGGGCAGGGGCAGGGGCAGGGGGCATGAAGCCTTTCGGAGACCATCACACTTTGGGCAAGAACTTCATGGCCCCTGGAAGGTCAGCCTCGCCTATGATGGGCTCAATGGGCCGAAGTTCTATGGGGGCTCCAATGTCGATGGCAAGTAGATCACAATTGGGGAAAAACAAACACGTCGAGTTCCACCCAGTGGCCACTCGGACATTCTACTGATCGGAGAGTTCGCTACAAAAGAAGAGAAGGAAAGAAGGAGAGCCATGAGATGACTATCTACTGTAAATTATAAAATAAATATCATATAATAATTTTGTCTAATTATATTTCCGATAAATTGACAAAATTCCAGCCAAGCTGCTCTATCAATTCAAAAACAGAATGGGTTTAGATTGGGTTTCTCTTAGACATACAGAAGAAGCAACCTTCTCAATCATTCTGGATTAACTAAAACAAAAAAATCTGACTGCAAGAGTATGTAAAAACAAAAGCATATCAGAAAAAGAGGATAGCTGGTTACTGCGCAAGTAGCACAGAATGCTCCGACCATAGTGTACAAAAACACAAAAAAAAGTTTTTTTTTCAAATCAGTGTCGTTTTTTCTGCGCGGTGTGATAAAAAAATCTGAACGAAAACCTGGAACTTAGGAATTTTTGATAGTCATAGTAAAATAAGCAACATTTAGAAAAATGACGCAGAAAACAATAAAAACAAACAAAAAAAATCAAGTTTTTTGCAAAAGTTTTGAATTTTTGAAGTTTTCAACTTCCAAATGGCGCTAGCAAAACTCCAAAAACAATTTTACTTGAGTAAAATTAATTTTTCACGGCCTAATTTTAGCAAAAATAGCTATTGTAAGCCTGCTCGCTAGCTTTATTTGCTCGAGTTCTGACTAAAAATCAAAAGTTTTAAGCCTGTTTTCTCGATACTGTGACAACTTTTTGAAAGTTTTTAGTGTCGTTCGAATCAAAAGTGCTTTAATATGATAGATCTTTCGACCCATTCCATAATTATATGTGGTACCTGCTTTTGCGTGAAAAACAAAAAGACAAAATCATAAAAACGCACTCGAAACACACTCGAAAACTAAGTTCCTCGCATTTTTTAAATAGTCAGAACAAATAGCAAAAATAAGTCAAACTCATTTTCTTGGCACTTTTAACTCGCATACATGACTGGTCGTGTGGGTCAATCGAAACCTTGCATCGCGAGGCAAACAACCCGAACAGAAAAGTGTCCGCGACTGACCCAAATTTTGCGACCAATGCAACTTTTCTTTCCCAAAAAATTTGAAAATTTAGAATAATTTAGGCAGTTTTGATATTATTTTACTAAAAACAATGGTTTGTTAATATTAAATATTTTGCCCAGATGGTCAACTTGCGCAGTTTTATCCACTGCATGATCCTCGTGGTATTCCTTTATCAAGAAGCAAAAATCTTTTCTCGTACTTCTTTGGAGATATTGTGTCTTACTCTATCCATTTATTCAGGAGTCTGGCACACAGGCTCGGATTATAAGGGGATTCGACCCTCTCACTAACTAAAGTGTCCCTCTTTTGGTATTATTTTATGACATCCAATTTAGGCCGACCAATTAAAATCTATCATAACAAAGCACTTTCGAACACAGCACCATAAAAACAAACATTTTAAAATTTTGTTATTTTCGGCTCTTATATATTCAATGTCAATCTATTGTTTTAGGAGTAAAATACTATGAGAAAACTCCAGCCTTACAGCCGATAATGAGATAACTTCAACCTTACTAGCCGATTGGTGTACCTTAAACCGACCGACAGAAGGGCAAAAACCAACCCAAAACTCGCGAAAGTCCAGAAATTTGCGTAGTTTTGTCGGAAAACTGAAGTTTACCTTTAAACTGAATTTTTTCTGCATTTTCGGCCAGAAAATTTATGGTTTTTATTTTTGCAAAAAGTAGATTTAACGTTTCATCGTGGATATTGACAAAAAACCAATTTTTGTGGTTTTTTAAGATCAAAAAGTAATCGCTTAAATTGAAAGCAAAAATGTATTATAATCTGTTGTAATGGTTTTTTGACAATTGAAAATGATCGATTAAAATCCTCTAAAAATCTTTTCTCATGATTGCACGGGTCATAAAAACTAATTATTTATCAAACGTTTTTTGCCAATACAAGCAGTTAAAATAAATGTTCCCCATGAAACTAGTGCGTGATCTAAGTGCCGAGCAGAAGTGTTCTCAGATGTTCGACCATACTTGATTAATCAAACCGGCCGGGACAGTGTTTAAGCCTGACTGAGTCACTGTATTTAAACTTGTCATTTTAGACGTCAAATTTATGCATTATGAACAGTTTATTTCAGCAGTAATTGTCCAAGTAGATGCCTGGGTTGACCTCCTCGCAAACAAAACGCTAGTTATACAATTTCACGAATGCAGCTAATGAGAAAACGCTAGTCATACAATTTCATACTATGAATATTGTATGACTAGCATTTTTTTCAAAAATATTCTATTCTTCCACATCAACTAAAAATTTATAAACTAAAATTGAGGACGTTAATAACTGATAAAATATATGAAATGGTCTTAAAATTGATTTTGGAGACTAAAAATCTCGAAAAATTGATAACACATTTTTTCGTTGAAAAATGCTAGTCATACAATATCTTAGTATGAAAATGTGTGACTAGCAATTTTTTTTTAAAAAACAAATCCAAAATTGGGGAGCTCAATTTTAGTTCTTTTTTGTTTGCAAAACATTTCAAGTCGCAAGCAAACAAATATCGGAAGTTTTTTGCCTCTTACGTATTCCGGGCACAGTCTTTTTCACAAAAACAACCAAAATCAGAATGTGTGTTTTGTGTGAAGCTAAAAAAAAATTTGTTAAAAATTTTGTATAGTAAGAGACATTTAAATTCAGTCCGCGATTTACATAGACTCAAATTTTCAAAAAGGAAGCTTTTTGCCGTACACCAAAAATTACAAATTTTTGAAATATTTATGTGCGAAATTGGAACATTAATTCACATGGCGACTCTCCAAAACCAGTTAATCTGCGAGATTTCTGTTAGTCAACCTGTTGGTTTTCTCACATGAAAAAACCTCTGGCTATTGTTCCGACTTTGGCAACAAAAGTATCAGAATATTTGTGCTCAGGGTGGATTTGTTTCTTCAGACAAATTTCGAATTTTTAAATAGTCATTTTCGACGGAATATTTTTTCATCATTCAAAAGGTATCGTTGTCTTGAGTTTAATTTGGAAGAGATATTTAACCTGAGATCATTTTTTGTAAAAACATGGGGTTTATTTTGAGACAATTAAAGCTTAACGCGCTTAACGCTTAGCACTATTAACTCATAATCGGAGATTTAATCCGTCTTAGAAATCATTCCAAATGGGTTGAAGGAAGCTTATTTGCCATAAATCATTTGTTACTAGGAGCAAAACTTACACAAAAAGTCTCAAATTTGTTTCTTACTACATTTAACGAAATCTTAAAGACCTTAAAAGGCAGTCAGAGCAATCAGGGCTTTACTCTGATACGGACAGTCTTATTGTGTTTAGAACTGAACGCAAAAAAAAATTCATACACACAATTTCATGCAAACGAAAGAGTTCTATAGTCACACAATTACACAATGCGAATAAATGCTAGTCGTAAAGTTTATCAGACAATTTTCAAGAGAAGTGTGAAACGCTAATTTCACAAATGTGAAATTGTATGATCAGCGGTTTTGTCAACCCGTATTGATTGAGATAAAAATTGAAAAATTTATTCAATAGTATAACAATGTGGTAAAAGTTTGCCATATGATGCAGGTAAACAATTGTTTATCTGCATCAAATGACAAACCTTTACCACAAAGTAATACTATTGAATGAATTTTTCAATTTTTATCTCAATCAATACGGGTTGACAAAAAACCGCTGGTCATACAATTTCACATTTGTAAAACTAGCGTTTAACACGTCTCTGGAAAAATTGTCATAAAATGTGCTTAAAATATTAAGAAGTAAAGAATAGAGTTCAATTAAAATGTGTGTTAAGTACAAAAGATTAGTTGAGTAAACACAAAATGAGGGGGGTTGAGAAATTAGACGATAAGCAAATTAGACGGAGGTACTTAAAAGGAATATAGACGATTTTGCAAAACTGCAATTGTGAGAAAATAGACGAAAGTGAGAGATTAAAATTGTTTGCAGACAAATTGCGCCAAAAAAATATAATTGTTTGTAGACAACAGATAAAATTTCGGTAGCCAAAACTTTTACAAGTCAACCATGCATAATTTATTCAATTCAAAATTCTCTTGTAATATTCGGATTTGACATTTTTTGTTCATTTAAACTAATTGTTTCGATAGGTATTGGCATTTTATGTTCTTTTTGTATTTGTGAAACTTGACTTTTAAGAAAAAGTTTTGTTCGCCCTTTCCTTTTCATAGCTTTTTTGTCTAAAATGCCAGATCTGTAAAAAAAAAATTCCGTCTAATTTCGTTTTTGTAGCATCCGTCTAATTTTCTTATCGTCTAATTTCCTAGGCCCAAAAATGAGGTCTCTGAACTGAATAAGGATTCAATATTTTACTTCACGGATTAGCGATCAGTCTGTTAATTTACACTTAATATATCTGTGGAGTTCTTAATTGTTATTTACACAATATGTGTTCTAAGCTCAATCATAGTGCCATGTTTGTCTATTCTTCATGGGAGGGGGGAAACAGTTTGCAGATCCAGTGGCGGACGAGCGTCACTTCTCTCGCGTAGCTCCTCCCACTCCTTTCATTGACGTCAGCCTCCTCTTGCTCCGATCGGATTACTTTCATATCAATGGCGATTGAGTCATGACAGTCCTTATCCTTTTCAGTCATCATTCGCACAATCCTCATCTGCAGTAGAAATGATAATGTATAGCTATAAAGTCCAGTTGCTGCCAATCAGCGTGCATCTAGGTTATTCTTGAGGGTCAAGGGGGAGGGTGATTTTGATTTTCAAAAAAAATTTTTAGGTCGACGGTCGACCTAAAGAAAATTTACTTTTTGAAAATCAACATCACAATCCCTCAAAATAGGGTCTTTGACTAAACTATCACAATTCTCTGATGTCGACATTATGCAATTTCAGTAAAAAAAAACCCTTAATTGACAACAAAATTTTCTACACCGGAGGCAAAACTAGGGATTTTGACCGAAAAATTGCAATTTTCAGAGCGTATTCCAATCCCAAAAAAA